AGGAGGCGAGAGGAGGCGAGAGGTGGTGGAGGCGGTGGAGGGAGAGGGAGTAGAGGGGGAGGGAGGGGTCGGGGGTGAGGTTGAGGAGGGAGAGGGAGAGGGAGAGAAGGGGGAGGCGGTGGAGGGAGGAGTAGGTTCTTGGAGTTGAAGATTTGGGGGGATGAGGCGGGGTGTTCCTGAAAATTTTGATTTTAGGGATGAAAATTCCGATTTTGGCGGGGAAAGTAGGGCGGCTGGGGTTTTGACGGTAATTTTTAAATGGTCACTTATTCTAGACGGAAATTTCCGTCTAGAATGTATTCTAGACGGAAATTTCCGTCTAGAATATCTGGTTATTTTTTAAAAAAAATAAAAAATAAAAAAACCGTCTAGGATACTATTATAGACGGAATTTTCCGTCTAGAATATTTTATTCTAGACGGAATATTCTAGACGGAAAATTTCCGTCTAGTTTAATACATTCTAGACGGAAATAATTCCGTCTAGAATATTCCGTCTAGAATAGGTGATTTTCTACTAGTGTTTGCACTAATAGCTAAGTTTTGAAACACCATGATTTATGTCTTCCATATTCTAAAAAAAATTCTTTTATATTTTTTGAATAACAACGTCTTTGTTACCATTTTTATATCCATGGATTTTGAAATCTGTTTCTATTTCAGATTCCTGTTGTTTTGAAACAAAAACAAAAAAATTAAGAAACAAAATTTTATACTACAAAGATTCTAGATTCAGCATTTGTAAAACTCTGAATGTTTTGTTCTAATTACACATACACTACTGTAATATTTTCCTTGCTCCCTTGTTTGAGAAATGTCAGCGAATTATATACAATTTTCTGTTGAACAAACCATTGCCATCTTATTTTACAGAACTTTTGCATAAAAACATGGATAAAATTTTGATATTTGCTTGAAGTTTGATCTTATCATTGATTATAAATAACATTATACATCTCTTATGTTTTCAAATTCCATCAATGAACCTTGCAAATTTTGTCTAGTTTTTCTTGCATTACTTACAGGCTCATACTTACTGACTGAATATATATGCTCAATTCTACTCAATTTTCTTTTAACTTAATGAATATGATCTAGGTTAATCATTTTCCTTACCGTTGTACTTTTGTTTGAAAGAATTTGTGCATAGAAACGAGGCTCAACTTAAGATATGCTCTTCATCAGATATAAAGAACATTATACATCTTATTAATCTCTCGTGCACTTGCAATCTGCTATCCAACTCTAGTTTTCAAAAATTCCATCAACCCAAAGCTTGCATTGTTTTTTGTGGTAATTATTTTTGGAATATTTACAGGCTCATCCTTCACTGACCGAGTCAGAATGCAAGAGGCTCTGCAATCTCATTGACTGCCAGAAGCTCTCACAAAAAGCTTCAAACCACGCAGCACAGAATGACGGTCTCCCTGTCCAGATGGTGGTCCGTGTCCTCTACTTTGAGCAGCTCCGCTTCAAGTCGACCTTCTCCATCTCATCTGCAGATGGCAGCTAGCTCCTTCTCTCATTGTATGATCAGTGGAAGCGCAGCTCCAAGCTCCACTGTCTCTCCCAGAGACAACTATGCCTCATTGAGAAGGGAGAACCGGGAAAACTCAAGCTCGAGATATCAAGAATGAGAGTGAGGCTAAGCGAGCTGGAGATGGAGCAGTCTTTTATGAAAAGAGGGATGAGGGAGGGGAGATCAGGAAAACACGGGAAAGCTTTCTTCTCTTCCATTTCTCAGATATTTGGCCCTGCAGCTGGAAAACAGCATAAGTCGGCTAGGAAGTCCATGGGGGTTGAAGGGAAGAGTCATTGACGGACGCAGAGGTCATCCATGCTCTAAACAGAGTTGGTATAAGCTTAACATTTTGACAGAATTACACAAGTAGAAAGCTTACGGAGACGGTAACTATATTTCGTTGGTGCTTGTATGCAGAGTAACACAGATGGAAGTTTTTGGGAATTCTGAAAGGCTTCAGTTTTTTATTATAAATCATATATAGAGAGATTATTTATTTGCATTTGGTATTTTATGTGATATATGTTGTGCGCAGCGGAAATTTCGGCAGAGTTTCTGGTGCACAATAAGAGAGAAAGATCGCTATAAGAATTTCCGTCTCACCAAGGAGACAAGAATCTGAAGCGGATATCCCAACCAAGTGAGATATCGGCTCTTCCTCTCATCAGTTCTAGGACTGACCTGTCGAGGGATCCTAAAACTATTACAATGGCCACAAACTCAAACAACCAATTTTTACGTGGTTCGGCAAACTGCCTACGTCCACGGGGCAAGGAGGGGGGATCTACTATTATAGAGAAAAAGAATACAATGGGTTTACAACTCTCACAATCTAAACCCTCAAATAGGCTCCTTGCTTTTCTTCACAAGAAAAGGTCAGCCTCTAAATACTTTTTCTCTCTTCACAAAACCCTAGACAGCCACCTCTCTCTCTCTTTCTTTGCTGCGTTTTCTCCAAGAAACAAAGCCACCGAAAGAATAAGCCTTGCTGCCGAAATTTCACCAAGCCCTCTGCTCCAAGCCCTTAACCCTAGGAAAACATCAGGCTATTTATAGCCTCAATCGCCTCAATCACCTAAGAAACCGCTGGACCTTTTGTAGGCATATAAAGTTGCTTATAGGTCCCCTAGCATAGCTCGGCACAAACCGACGAACCAACGAGGCGACGAGATCGACGAATCGCACGGAAGCGACGGAATGCATCCATACGCGTTCGGAATCAAGCCAAGTGTTAAGGAATCAACGAGTCATCCAACCGAGAACAGACTCGGACGAATCACGATCGAATCAAGATCAGTTTCGGACTCGAACTCAGAAGCGGATTTACTGCCAAATCAGGAATCCGACTTATTGCCAAATCAGATCAACCAATCAGAGTCTCAATCAACCGAATCACGGACAAAACCGGAAAACGGACACAACTCAAAAACTCGGAAAACCCACACCTAAGGGGGCTCGGCTTAAGCCGAGCCACCCATAGGTGGCTCGGCCAAAGCCGAGCCACCCATGGGTGGCTCGGCCAAAACCGAGCCACCCATGGGTGGCTCGGCCCGAGGTGGCCGACAGTGGCCCGAGGTGGCCGACAGTGGCCAGAGGGGGCCGACAATTCTCTTTTTGCAGCCACTGTCCTGAGAGCCTATAAATAGGCCTAGAGATGTTCATTTTCGGAGGTCGAACTTTCAAGAGCCGAAACTCTGCCGGATTGAAGAGCAAACTCAGAGTTTTGAAGACTTGAAGACTTGGACGTACAGATCTGATCCTCGGCGACCATCCACGTCAGAAAAGGCAGGATCTCGAGAGGAAGAAAGAACAGATCTGAGATCTACACGAGGTCATACTCCAGATCTAAGCTTGGTCTTAGATCTCGAGATCTGAGCGATTATTCCCTTGGTGGATTAATCCCTCCCGGCTATTATTCCCTTCGTGGAATAATACCCGCATAATCGTGTAGATCCGACCGGATCTAGATCGCGCGGTGGTCCACGGATTAACCCCGGCGCAGGCAAAGAACCCACCAAAGCGAGCGACCGCAAAACAGGAGCTCGTGATTTGTTCACAGAAGGAAAGTTGTAATTTTTTCTTTATTTATTTTCTTTGATTTAGTTGTAACCGGATCTATAAAAGACCGGATCTTTGTAATCCAAGATGACAATCATATCAATGAAAAAGAAAACAGTTTTCCACGCGAACATTGATTCGTGGAATATGACCACTGATGTGATTGTTCTCATACCCTAAATGGACCGTTGTCAAACGTGCTGGCGAGGTTAGACTCTTGCTGGAGAGTCAACTTCTGACGGGTCAGATCTATGCAGGCGGGT